ATTCATCTCTAAAAATAATCGATGAAAGAGGCTGGCGTTTGCTAAAATGTATATAAAGTTGCCACTCGAAGTCTGGAAATCTGTAATTTGGACAGACGAATGCAAGTTTGAACTGCAATTGACAAAGAGAAGAAAAAGGTCTTAAGAAAAAAGAATGAGGAGTTTTTAATGCAACATATGATACCTTCAGTCAAGTTTAGTGGTGGGTCGGTGATGCTGTGGGGTTCTATTTCATGGAACGGCTCTGGTATTATCGAGTTGATCAATGGTAAAATGGCCAAAGAAGTTTATCTCGACATTGTACACAAAACTTCTTTGCTTCTGTAGCAAAATTAAGGATCGAGGACAATTTTATCTTGTAGGAGGATAATGATCCAAAACATACAGCAAAGATTGTCAAAGATTGGTTAGTTAATCATTAAATTTTCAAATTCGATTGATCTGCTCAATTGCCAGATTTAAATATAATCGAAAATATATGGGAATACTTGGAGAGAACTATTCCACAAAACGAAAGAAAGTCAAAAAATGACATGTTTACAACAATCAAACGTCGTTGGGAAGAAATTGACATTAATTTCATTCAGAAATTATTTCTTTCGATACCAAAACGCTTGCAAGCAGTTATCGATGCTAAAGGCGGACCAACAAAATATTAAAAGGATTGCGTTGCACCAAAATAACAAAACTATTTTGTTTAAACTTGTGTTCTTGTCGCTGTCAACAAACTTTTGAGCAGCACCTTTTTGCGTTTTACCTAATTTTTTATTGTTCTAACGTTAATTGACTGCTGTTTTATTTTTATTTCAAACATTCTTTTTGTTTTATATTAAACTAAATACTTTCTACCCATAAATATCTTCTTATCAGTGGCGTACCTACAGGGGGAGGGGGCTCACAGCCCCGGGTGTCATCCACTTTTAGGTGACACCCAATTTATTAATATCTTATATTTTGTCTTATATTTTGGTTTATAATTAAACAGTCTTACATAAAAAAATAAGTGGGTATTTATTTACACGACCTACGAAATGCTGAATGCTGAAAGATATAGTTATTATTATTTAGAAAATATAATCGCTACGCTTTCTTTCTTTCAGTAGGTTTGCTATTTTATTATTATACTGTACTATTAAATTAAATCCTGATTCTACTGTTTTTTTAAGCATATAAAAGAATAAAGCTGATTTTAGACGATTTTAGATGATAATAGTTTATTATCGTCTAAAACAGAAATAATAATTAATTGGCAACAATTTATTTTCAAATAATTATTTTCTTTGTTATAGACGAGAATTATTTATAGAGAGTTATAGACACTAAATTATTATTGTCGAAAACAAGGTTTAAAATTACGTGTCAACGTTTCTAAATACTGCTTTAATAACTTCGTATATAAAAATAATTACATATAATATATGGGTGACACCCTATTTGCCGCCCCGGGTGACCCCATATCTAGGAACGCCACTGCTTCTTATTCATAAAATAATGCCTAAATATACACTTTTTTTTAAATGTCAACTGACTTTTGAGCGTCACTGTATATATATATATATATATATATATATATATATATATATATATATATATATATATATATATATATATATATATATATATATATATATATATATATATATATATATATATATATATATATATATATTATAAAAGGTTTACCTGCCGATATCCATGGTAAATTAATTAGGCCCCCGGTTATTTAGTATTATTATGGAAATAAAATTTAAAAGGTATTAAAATTGCTTTTATAAGTTATGCTTTTAAAATTTAGAGCGTTAATTCGACATTTTTTTTTTTGAAATAAATTTAACTTTCTAGAAAAGAATTTTTTTTCCGAAATAAATTAAACTTTTCGTTAATTTCATTTTTGAAATTAGTTTAGCTTATCAAATATCTTTTGGTTTTTTTCGAAATTAATTGCACACTTCCAAACTCTTTTTTTTCTTTCGAAATTAATTTGACTTTTTAAAATACACTTTTTTTTCGAAGTTAATTTGACTTTTCGAAACTCTTTTTTTTCTTTCGAAATAAATTTCACTTTTCGAAATACGCTTTTTTTTTTCGAAATTAATTTCAGATTTTGAAATTCTTTTTTTCCTTTTGAAATAAATTTTCCTTTTCGAAATCCACGTTTTTATTTCGAAATAAATTTCCTTTTTCGAAATCCACCTTTTTATTTCGAAATTAATTTCACATTTCGAATTTTTTTTTTTCCTTTCGAAATTAATTTCCTATTTCGAAATCCATCTTTGTATTTCGAAATTAATTTCACATTTCTAAATTACTTTTTTTTTTCGAAATTAATATGGCTAGTTCGATTATTTTCGAAATTTTATTTAGATTTCGAAAAAAAGGAAGTATTTCGATAACGTTTTAATCGAAAATTTTCGAAAATTGCAATTTCGTTAATGAACCCTAGTTAATTGCATCATTACATGACGTAATCTTTATCATGTCAAATTTAGGTTTGCAAATGTGTAATTATGAAAAAAGAAATTAACTTATTATTTTAAGTTAACCTAAAGTTAAATTGTTTAGAATAATTAGATTAAAATAATTACTTTGATATTTATTTTCGTGTTTAACAAATGTGTTTTGAAAATGTGAGGTCCCAACAAAATCGGAGGCCCTTGTGGCTCCCCCTCTGAAAGGGCCTATATATATATACATATATATATATATATATATATATATATATATATATATATATATATATATATATATATATATATATATATATATATATATATATATATATATATATATATGTATATATATATATATATATATATATATATATATATATATATATATATATATATATATATATATATATATATATATATATATATATTTGATAAGCTAAATTAATTTCAAAAATGAAATTATCGAAAAATTTAATTTATTTCGGAAAAAAAAATCTTTTTTAGTAGGTAGTTTAGGCAATATTTATAGCAAATGTAAATATTTTTTATATTAAATGCATTATATTCCTTAATATATTTCATTTTCAAAATGGTTTCAACCACCTCTGTAGCTTATTTAGTTCCAAAGATATACGTGTTTTAATATTTTCCATTCATAGACTTTTTATGAAATATTTTCTTAAAGTATCTCGTTCAGTTTTTGGCACCGAAAAAAAAAACTTTTTTTTTTTTTTTTTTTGCGTAAAAAGTTGCGTAAACTAACTTATAATAAAATTTTAATTGAAAATAAATTGTAAATCTAAATTATTTGAACAATTCATAAGTAGAATTTTTTTGAGGGTTAACGCAGACGTACCATGAAATAGTCAAATAACTGTCTAATATGTTTAAATATGTTTTAAACTTTTTTGACACAAAATAAATTTTCAAATGTTTTAATTTATAATACGTTGAGCGTAACAAAACTTTGATGATAAATATTAACTTAAATTAATTTTATTTTTCTTTAATAAATTATCAATTGAACAACGTGGACCCAAATAAAACACGCCGAAAACGTCAAAATATGTACAAAATAAGCATAAATCTAAAATTTATTTTTACACAAACAAATAAAGAAATTAGTCAAAGACTTGTTAATAATTTCAGTATTGTTATAGATTTAAAAAATGATTTAACCACTTATAGTCTACTGATTCGACTAATTTATTGTTTTCAGCACCTATCATAATATAAAAAATGTTCTATTTTTTAATGGGGTTAAGGTTTTTAACTTTTTTTAAAATTTTGAAAACAGTGAATGAAAAACTCGTTGAATTGTTCTATTTCATTGTGTTTGGCTTTATTTGATTGTGTACTCTCGAGTCCTTAATTCCAAGGGGGGGGGGTTTATTAATTTTGGGGAAACTTTGCCACCCACACTAAGCTTATTAAGACCCCCCTCCCGTTTATTAATTTTTACTTGTTTTAACAAAAAATTTATATCTAAAAACTAAAAAAAAATTAGTGAAAATCAGCTTTAAAAATCAAAAAATACATACTAGTTACTGATAAGTAATAAAACTTTCAGTGTAAATTCTGACCCTCCCCTCCCCAGTTCATTAAATCTTGACTAAACTCCTCCATCCACTTTTATTAACCCCATCCCTCGTCTCTTAACAGAGACGGAATTAACATAGATTAACAGTCATGGAAATTAACCGTCATGGAAATTCTTATACGGATTATCTTATCTATCTATTTGTCTTAAACTTTTTAATAGATGTCTTAAATCGTTTTGTCTTTGAAATAAATTATCGCACTATTAATGTACCCAAATTTGACTATATGTTGCAAACTCAGAAATTTCACTTTTCAAAGTTCATTTAAAACTTAGCATACTTCATATCGGTAAATTTACTGAAAAAATATTTTAATTATCGAATTTCAATTCAAACTTCAGAGTAAGCTGTGTGTGTATTGTTAACAAACAATTTTATACATAATTTGACTTGGCTATTCCGTTCATAAATTAGACAAAATTGTCTAACTTACTTAACGAAGTGCACCAACGAGAAGGTAAGCCATAGGACTTTGCACTCCATCCGTGAGCTGTCATGTTGCCTAAGGTTTTTTTTTTCTGGATTCTTTCCTTTACTTGATAGGCAGTTCATGTAAGAGTAATAGTAATTTAGCCTAAGGTTAGCCCTCCATTTCTGGATTCTTTCCTTTACTTGATAGGCAGTTCATGTAAAAGTAATAGTATTTTTGCATAAGCTTTTTTTTTTTTTTAATAATAATAATAATAATGTGCAGTTAAGCTGCAAATAAACAACAACAAATAAACAAAATTGGTGCAGATAAACATATCAGATATGATTCATACTATTTACAAAGATAAAAACCACTGAACTCAAATGTAGTAAAAAAAACTATTGGAACATAACAATAAAAGAAATAAGATTAATATATACTGTAACATAATTCTAAATTTACATTAAATAAAACCTCGCAATCTTAGCTACAAAGAATAAGATCACCTTTTTCAAAATCTATTAATAAAGGGAATGATCATACTTCATCAGGTTCATTATCATACTTAACAAGGTATGTAGTTCTTCTATCGTTTAATTGATCAATTTGAACCACTTGCGCACGTTCCCAAGATACTTCATGAGCATCTTCTTCTCTAACACGATGTTGTATAGAAAAATCTACAAAATCAGATGGATTGTTAATAAATTTTGATAAAGAGTGCTTTTTTTGTTGCTCTATTAATTTGTTTAGTCTTGCATCCTGAATTTTTTCCATTAATTCTTTTTTTTTGTTTTCAACAGCTGCATCACGCATTGTACGAGGCTTTAAATTATTACTTATATTATTACTTAAAGATTGTTTGTTTGGTGTTAAATTTGCTTGAATAACAATAAGAAGATTTTGATATAATTCCTCTGAAGACAAGTTTATTCTTTTGCTTCCTTCTACCTTTGTTTTACAAAAAAGTTTTTTGTCACATTCGACACCTAAGATTATGCGATAAAAATTAAGTTGAGCTAGGAGTACTTTTGATTTCAATGGCTCTTCTATATTAAAAACTGTTTTCTCTGCTTCCTCTAATGATATCCAAGCCCTTACATTTAAATTTATCAAATCATTACAAGCTGCAACCTTTTTATGTTGTAGTTTAATTTCTTCTCGATTTTTTTCTTCTTGCTTTGCTAGAAGGTGCATAGCTTTATCTTTTTTAAGAGCTACTTTTCTTTCATCATATTTGCTTTTCATTAATGTTACTTTAGTTCTTGAATATTCAAGCAATTGTTTTCTTTCTTCATCTGATTTACCATTAAGCCATTCTAATGTTTGGTTCTGAGACCACATTGTCAAAGCCTGGATAGTTTGAACATTTGCATTGGGTTTTGTGCGAACCATTAAATCCAAAATGACAAAGTCGCTTTCTGATGCTTTATTAGTGACAGGGAATTAGAAGCAGCTTCAGAAACAGAATTAGATGGATTCCAATATTTACCACCTGGTAACTGATCAGCACACTGACGTTCCAAAATAACAAGAATCGCATGGAAAATAATTTCAAGTGATTGAACAGTTAAAGAATCAAACTCATCATTTTGAGTGCATTCAAACAGCTTGGTGTAAACCACATCTTGATGAAGAAGATTGGTATCCTCAAAAATTTTTCCATTAGCAAACAATAAAGAAGACAATCGATACAAAGAGATGAAAGTCTAACTTTCAAGCGAAGTAGGTAGGGGTTTAAAAATAATATACTATCAAGTAATTCGATAATTCTCCACATTGGACCAGTAAGTAGTTTGTCAATAATACCTAATGCACGGACTTCAGCAATGAATGCAAGATTTGTGATATCTTCCTTAATTGCTTTTAATAAATTATTAGGGTTAGGCCAAGCATTAAGAAATTCTGTTATAGAATCCTTATGTTAGTATAGGGCAGCTGCATTGTAATACAAAATATTAAATCGATTTCCAATAAATGGAACAAAATAAGATTTATCGTTACGAGAGGAAAGAAAAGAATTAAACCATGATGCAACACCAGCTTCCTCACTACCCCTTGAATGAAATGCTTTACATGTAATACGAACTAACCGTACAGCACCACATTCTTTACCACTAAAAGCAAAAACAGTTTCAAAATCATTTTGAAGCAGAATTTTTTCAAAAGAATTTAAAACTTTATCAGTTTCAGAAGCAAAATTAGCGAGCAAATGAAGTTTACAGAAAAAATTACTCATGTCCTTCATATTGTCTTTGACGTTTCAGGAAAGAAAGTCCCAGTTACTAATTGCAATAAGCAAAAGTTTTTCCTTAATGTTTTTAACTGTGAGTTAAAAAGAGGATTAACCGAAGAAAGATCAGACATTGTTGATTTTATTGATGTTATTAGTTTAGCAAAATTAATTTCTTTTTCAGTGGCTGAGTTGCTAACAACGTCACAAATGTCATCTACTACATTAGTAAAGTTTTGCAAAACAGTTGCTGCATCTTTGCCAACCACTTCTGACAGACCAAAAGATAAAGTTTTCCCACTAGTTGTAGTAACTTGAAAGTTTTGATAATGCTTATGGTATTTCTGAGTACCATCACCATGCAAACAATTGCCTATTTTAGAGTTTTCATTTATTAAATTATTTTCAAGCATTGCTTGTACAACTTGAAATTGACCTAAAATTGAAGCTTCCTGCATTAACCTACATTTTACAGCGGCTGATGGCAGTCTAGATATGTTCTTTTTGGCTAGTTTGTTTAAAACTACTTTTATGACTTCATTGACACTATTCATACTCACGTTCATTGAAAGAAGTTTCATTATTGTTTCTCGAATGTCATCACTGTATCTGCCATCTTCAAATGTTATTACTTCGTCATCATCCAGTAAAGAAACCAATTTTTGAAGTTCTAGATTCTCCTCTTTTAAAATGTTTGTCTTACTATATCACGAAACAACTTCCTTCTCTAAACTTATAACATCTTTCATGTTGTTGTCATTAATATAGTTGGTTTTAATTTGCAAAATAATTTTTAAATTACTCACTTTTTTTTGCAGCTTTATTTTTTCGTTTTTAATTCAGAAATGTTTATATCTGAGTTTTCAAGAATTGAATTAATATCTGTTTTTTTATTTTTTAATTGCAATATTATTATTTTTTCTTTATTTTTTAACGAATTTATTTTATTCTTTTTTATTTCCAGCTGCGTATCACGATATTTTATTTTTTTATACAAATTTCTAACATTAAATGATTCTTTTTTTGACTTTAATAGCTCTAATTTGTTTTCAATATTATTAAGCTTTTCTTCTTTTTCACAATAACACTTTTTAATAAAGTTTAATTCAGCTTCTATTAGAGAGTTTTTCGAAATAAGTATTTTTAGGTTGTTTGACATTTCTTCAAAATTTTTTAGATGTGTAAAATAATCCATTTGTAAATCCATCATAGATTCCATTTTCCTTTTTAAAATTTTATTTTCTTTTTTAAGCATTTTGTTTTCGCTTATCAGTATTGTTTCTTTAGGAATTTCTGATGCACTCACTGTATTTTCAGAAAAATTTGCCACAGGTGGAAAAAAGGCTTCACCTAATAACTATGCTAATTTTTTATTTTTTCGTTGTTTCTTTAATTTTCTGATGGTGTCAACGAATCTATTTATCTTTTTGGCTAAAGCTTTCTTGCAGCAGAACAGTTCAACTTTAAAATCCAAACAATATCTAAAATATATTGCATCATAAGATGTATCTTTTAAAGCCAAATACCAATCATAAATACTTTCATTTATCATTTTATCTAAATAAATAAAGATTTTCCAGTCATCAATTCGAACAAATATATAAACATATAAATATATTATTTCAAAGTCTTTTACTTATTATATATATATATATATATATAATATATATATATATATATATATATATATATATATATATATATATATATATATATATATATATATATATATGTATATATATATATATATATATATATATATATATATATATATATTATATATTTATATATATATATATATATATATATATATATATATATATATAAATATATATATATATATATATATATATATATATATATATATATATATATATATATATATATATATATATATATATATATATAAACTTAAAAATTAAGTAAATTGTATAAAAAGAAAATTGCTAAGTTACAAATTAGACTTACTGATAAACTGCTGAGATTCAATTACTAATTGGTTAGCAACAACCACATTAACAACACAAAACAAACTCACTTTAGAATACCTTAAGTTAAAATTTACAATAAAATCTCAGCTATATAAAATATAGAATTCAACGTGTGCAAAAATCTTTTGTCAAGTAAAAGAGAAACGGCAAATTTACCAAAAATATCTAAAGACGGGGGAAATTATAATAATCTTTACTTAGAAAACAAAAAACCCACCCTATTAGACTACAAAAAAAAAAAAAAAACTTGTTCACTTAATAAATAAGTAATTGCAGAACTTATTTTTACGTGGGGACGAAAGAGTTATTTTAATTTACTTGCATTTTAACAAAACTGAAAGATTTAAAACTAAATAACTTTATCAATTCTAAACCAAAACGTCGTCCCCAAACAAATTATTGTAGTACAACCTTTTTTTAAAAAAATAACATCTATATGTGCGTATATAATATTTATTTACATGGGTGGGTTTTTATTCTTCAAAACCTACATAAAATCATTTCTGGCGTTTTTTGGACGAAGTTTTTCAAAAATATATTAACGATTTTTTTCCGCGATAAAATGTCACGTGACAAAACTCAAATGTCACGTGACAAAACTATTTTTAGAAAGTTTATTCGCCTATTCCGTAAATTTCGTGATTTTCTATAAACTGAAACTTTGAAGACCAGATAATTAAACAGATATCGCAAATCGCGATGCCTTAATTCAACCCTTGTAATATATATATATATATATATATATATATATATATATATATATATATATATATATATATATATATATATATATATATATATATATATATATATATATATATATATATATATATATATATATATATATATATATATATATATATATATATATATATATATATATATATATATATATATATATATATATATTTATATATGTATATATTTATTGCAGTTTTTCTCAAAAAATGATTTTTTTGCACGTTGTGATTAATATCTTGTTTTAGCTTTGTCTGATTCTACTAAAATTTTTATGTTATGTTTCCTGTTTATATGTAGATTAACCTTACAAAAATATTTTATTTTAGTTAAACGGTTTAAAAAATGCGGTACCAATTCCAAGCTTTTTTGTAGCATTTTTAAAGCCTGAAATCAATTTTTTTCCAAAATTATCAATAATTTGTTAAACCATTAGTCTTTTGGCAGAGTGAATGCAATTATATGTTGTTGGAAATCTGTTTAAATTTCATGGTCGTACCATAATTGGTTCACAAACTGTTTATCGCAGCGTGAAGTCCAATTTTTATTTTTTAACATTTATTTTCTTTATTTATTTTCTGTGTTTTGTAAATGAAATGCTATATTTTTTCAAAAATTCAAGAAATAAAAATGTATTTTAATTTTTTTGGTTTCATTAGTATAGGACCAAAATGTATCCTATGAAGGACCAAATTATTTTTATAAATTGTTTTATAGGAGAAAACTTGATTAGGTTTTCAGGTTGATAGTCAAATTAATGCTGATGAAAATTCAGGTTAACGGTGATGTTAATGGTAATTGGCATAAATTTAGTATAGATAAATTTAACGAAATTTTCCCTGAAAATTTGAAAGTGTGAAATTTTTTTATTTATTATCATTTACAATGGCTTTTTAAATTATTTTTTACAATGGTTTTTTAAAATTTTACAATTTTACAAATTTACAATGGCTTTTTAAAATAACCTTTAACTTAGGTTATTATTATTGAACTAGATTTGAATATTTTAGGGATCGACCATGACCGTGGCACACAAAACAAAATACTTTTTTACTTTTTAACTATTTGTAACAACATTTTACGTGATTTTATAGGTGATTTTTTAAGTTTTTTCACTTCTTTTTTTAAGGAGAATTAAGTCTTTTGGCCCATATTCACGCGAGCCGATCGTAATTAGATTTTTACACCAAAGTATCGTTATTGTCTTACGTATAACCAGTCAAAAAATCTAAGCCCGATTAGCTTGGCGTCATAGTTATCTGGTAAATCTTGTATCTGGTTAAAATATTAGTATAAACGTTTTTTTTTTTTTTTTTTTTTTTTTTTTACGTTAGTTTATTGTAATGATTTTAAAAATCTAAAAACAATAAAAATCGTTGTAATTTTATATATTTAAGCCAAATAATAAAAAATAGTTTTTATATTATACATTTTTGATAGTTTATCTATGATAGAACTGCTTAAATCATTTACCAAATAAAATTCACTATTTG